AATAAAAAAATTTTATCTTTATATTTCTTTCAAACCAAATATATTTTATAGGTTGATTTAAAAAATATTTTTTTGTATTACTAATATAATATATTATATAAATCTTATTTAAATTACTAGCCATTAATCTTTAAATTCAATTGTTAAAAATGATAGTATAGTGTACGTACTTGCTTGTATATTACGTTAAAAAAAAAAAAAAAAGCACACACTTTTCAATTTGAAAAAAAGAACTTGAACTGCAATTTACTTATCTTCGACTAATATATCTATGTCGGTGGTTTGTTTTTATGTTTTGAAATAAAAATATCTATACTCTTAATTGGCAGTGGAGCCGCCCTCGCGCTGAAAATGTTCGATTTCGTGATGAACTCGAGTAGTTAATAATTTGTAGCGTATCAGGTAGTTGGGGTTCTGCCGTTCAAAAAAAGGGAGGTAGTTGGGATTCTCATTAGATTAGGAGAGAAGCCGATTGTTTCTCTCACGATTTTTAGTTAATACGTAAGAAATGAATGAGAATACTTAAGAAAATAAAAAGTTAACATCAAGAGAAAAAAAAAAAAAAGGGTCATATTTGGGGCTTCAGAGCACGTCATGCGCGGTGGTACTTTTAGATTATTAAAAAGAAAAATCCAATCTATTGACATTCTTGAGCGTAAGAATCTAGCGTTCAAAAAATAAGAGAGAAATATTTAGTTTAAATATAATTAGCTGAATAATGATAAATGGGATAAAAATTTGAAATCAAAATTTAAAATTAATGATGTGACATAAATCGCTTTATTTAAAATATTAAAAAGTAAATTCTATAATGATTAATTTTTTTTAATTTTCTAGATTTATAATATTATATGTATAAACTAATTTAATGATATGATATAAATTTTCATCTTAAATTTTTGTTTTTCGTATCAGTACTCTAATTGAATAGGTTGTTTGATTGGTTTACATTAAGTACTTATTTTATGTTTAACCTCACATGTTAAATTTTTAGATACTATTAAGGTAGGCCCATTCTTATCAAACCCGATATTATTAACTTGCTTGACAAGTTCCAAAGATTATATTAAGTCTAGGTGTACATGTACCATACCCTTGAATATAATTAAGTTTACCTAGCAAGCAATTCAAAACTACACACATAAGAATTGGCCCTACCATGTGGTTTCCATAAAATCAAAACATAAAGAAGGTCAACCTAAGATTTTTAAGAAAATAATGCTAAAGGCGAAAGCTACATCCTTAATTTTTTTTTTTTTTTAAGGGGACAAAAAGGAGATTTAAGCTCAACTGTGGCAAAATAAAAGACCCTATACTTAATTGATTTCTAGTTCTACCACAACCACTAACAAATGCTGTAGGCCATATTATTAATTAATTTTAAGTTAAATAATCATGTTTTATATTTAAATCCACGTGTTAAATTTCCATAGATATTACAAGTAGTGCAAGCACATGAAGCATCAATCAGTAGCTATGTCAAGTGAACAGTTTTTTTGATGTAGCTTTCTTAATATTATAATTAGAAAAATAATTAATTAAATATGCTAATTTACTTCAGCTACAAGGTAATTAGGTAACCATGATAAATTTGTTGGTGTACTTTAAATTGGATTATATATATTCAACATTATTAATTGTTATATTCTTTCTCGCTAAATATGCATGTTTGTCGTTTTCTATAAAAATAAATACATGTTTGTCGTTTTCTTGAGGTTCGAAAGGTTGAATAATGAAACATACAGAGAACCATATTTGAATTGGAGAAAAAATTAATTAAGATTTTTTATATTAAACTGAAGTAGTAAAAGACTTTTGAACTGTGTTAACTACTTAAGTATTTAAATAATAATTTTTTTAGTAAAAATAAAAAATTTTAGATTTAAATTTTATAATATGTAAATAAAATCAGTTTAAAATAAAAAATTTTAGATTTAAATTTTATAATATGTAAATAA